GAGTTGACGTCAAATATTCAAAGAGAACAATTAAGTGTCGACACGGTAAAAGACACTGTCTCCCATTTGAATTGCATTTTTATGCTAATGAGTTTATCCCAGTCTTTGTCGAGAGCATCCAAGAGGATGAATTCTCAAAACAAACCACAGGTGCGGACGACATCAAAAAGGATGCAGCACAACGTGGAACTTTTTCTTAGCGGCGAACTGGGACATAGTCCAAAGAGGAGTGTCAAACTCTTAGGACGCGAGCAGAGGAGCGACTTCCACCACAATCAAACCACACCCCTATCAGAAGGCATGTGGGTTTTTCTTTAGGTTTCCTGGTTTCAGTTTCGCATCCGAAATTTTTTGTCTCCACCGGAAGCAGCTTTCCAATCTGAGTGACAATGCGCCAAGAGCATTGAAAAGTATGTCTGTGTAAGTTCTTAAGTATGGGTGTGAAGCGCGCCACATTCATGGCTAAGAGGTTGCAAGCCTCCTTTCATACTCGACTTACTTTGTCGCTTTTCCAAAACCAAAGGTTATCTTGCATAATAGATTTCCTTTTCAACCGATAGAGTCGAACTACAAGCAGCCTGATTCCTTAGGTCGATGGATATGTAGGCGGGCTCAATGTTGAAAACTCGGCTGTATTCCAACATTCGCTCTTAAATCTTATTTTCGAGCATTCTGATTTCTTCATAATTCGATATAGGATGACTTTTGAATTTTTTCAAAATCGTGCGTAAAATCGAGCATATCGAACTACAAGTGGCCTGAATTGTTATATAACCTGAGATATGTAGGAAACCCATTTCCGGGGTTCGGCCATAATTCCTAGAGTCCGTACCAAATCCCTTTTCCAAAAGATGAAAGCGTGGTCGGTCAAAATTGGATTTGTCAAATTTCATTTTCCTCGGATTTCTTGCATCAATCCAAGTAAATGAGGGACAGTTGTTGACACCCAATTTTGGACCTCCACAATATAAATTAATCATCGAGCTTCATAAATTCTAAACGATTTGAAATAATTGACCTTATAAAATTCAAAATATTTTCAAGCTAGTTTTATGTGATTTTGTCATTTTTTGGGAACTTTTAAATAATGTATACACACGCGCACACACACACACACACATATATATATATATATTATTAGTTAGTATATTTTATGAATATTCGAATTATTGTCTCAAAAGTATTTTAGTTTTAGGTAAATATTTTGCCAACTAATTTGGTTTAAGTAATAGTTTCTATTTTAAATTAATTAGTTTATAATTAAGTTAATTATTTTATTTTGTAAAGATTAAGAAGCTCGTTAATTAATATTAATTTGTTTCATTTAATCTTTAGTCGGATTCACTAATAAAATTCAATTTGGCTAGATTGTTAATTCATTTGCCTAACCTTTTTATTGCAATTTTAACCATAAATTTCCCCACCCTAAACCCAATTGAGACTATTTTGGGCCTTTTTCCTTAAACCATTTCAGCCCACTCCGTTTTCAGTTCAATTTTTCAGCAACCCATTCTCTGCAGCCCAACAACAAATAATTCCCAGCCCAATTCCAGCACCCATCAACAACAATACATACAACAAATAACCCAAAACCGACCCCACATCATGCTTCTTCTCCAGCAATTCAAGAAACCCAGAACTGGTACAGCAGAGAAAGAAGCACGATTTTCTCCCCTTTCCTCGTTCGGAATGGAGCAAAAATTGCAAGAAAAGGTGTCTCTCCTTAATTGGTGAAAGGAATTTGAAGTTTTGAATTTCAAATTTGGCCTTTTGAATCCGAGCTTTATCCCTTTCCCCCCAAAAAATTCGAACCCTGATTCTCTACTATAAATACCTTGTTCTTCTACAAGTTGTGAGGGAGTTTTTTTTTTAGTGGGAAATTTTGAGTCAAGAAGACATAATCATACAGTGAAAATACATAAAACTCTTCTGAGAAAAAGTAGACTCTAGGATCAAAAAATACTATAAAGAGCATTTAGTTTCAGCTTCCTCCTTCCGAACGCGACTCTCCCGCTGCTAGTCGGAACTTTCGAAGCTTGTGTGTGGTGGTGGAAAAGCTCGTCGTTGTCCTCGTTCGCTGCCCCGAAAAGGTGAACCCCTTTTTTAAAATTCTTTTTTTTTTAGCTTATTTCAATGTTGTTTTGTTTGCTTCCTTGAGTAACTTTGTTCTTTGTTTGATTCATTGTTGCCGTAAGATAAATGTTTGCTTGGTTTTGAATGAAGTTAACTTAGTTGATTAATGTAAAGTGTACCCTTCGTGTGAGTTAATCATCTTTAAACATCTATGGGGATTGTGAATAGATCAATGAGCTTATTGATTTGTTTTTTTTATGAGGTTCAAATGCCATTTATTTACTGTTGGGTTCGTTTGCGAAGTGTTTTCGAGAGTTGTCATGCTTAATCTTTTAGAATTGGTTACTTGAGAATATGATCTAAGTAGGTATGTGTGGTCAGTATGTATTTTGGAACTGTTTTCTAGCCTAAAAATTGTTACTCTTCTCGTTCATTTTCCAAGTCTTCATGGCTGCTTTTTATTTAGTTTTCAAACTGTATGCTAGTCTTAAGTTTGTGTTGTGTCTTCTATTTTTTTTATTTTATTTTTTCTCTTCTCTATTTGTGCTCATGTTCATGTTCTGTTAAGTGTTTTGAACATATCGTGGCTTTTGCTTTCATTTTCTGAAGTTTATCTTAATCAGTTTCCATCCATATCGGTACAAATATAGATTCGTGCAAAAGTGTTAGAGTTTTCTTGTGTTTAATAGATTTCTTTTTTTATATAGGACCCATATTCTGATTCTTCCACATCTCTGCCTATTTAACTGTTTTTTCACTATTAGATGTATATCATGTTTAGTTAAAAGGTATTGTTCATGCTTATGGTTTCCTTGTTTAAGAATCATATGTTGCTAGCTATTGATTTTGTTTATTTCTTCTCATTTTCAGCATGTTTTTTATAGTTTGTTGAGTATAGCATATGCTTCCTTTGTTTACTGTAATAATTTCAAGGCTTTTTCTTTTTCTTTTTCTTTTTTTTTGGTTCAAAACGCCTTTAATCTTAAATCTGCTTTAGAAAATGATAAGTCGCTATGATTAAGACCATTTACTGTAGATATCTTGTTGTCTTACATTGTTGATATATGTTTGGCATTGTGTTGCGTCTCGATTCGGTTTATTACCTTGTATTGTCATGGAGGGTATTGCTTTCGATTGGGTTGAGATTGTTCCTCGCTATTTTGTATTTGTTTCTTTAAATGGCCCCCTTTTGATAATAAAATATAATTATGATGCACTTATTTTATGTTAGTATGTTCGCCTCTTCGAAAATACAAAACAGTGTGAAATCTTACTCCTTTCTTAAACAATAATGAAGTGTGCTTGCTTTAGTTGGTTATTACATTTTATTTTAATTGTGGTATATTAGTTGGTCATGTGAGCCGAATTGAATTGCACTTGTGCAATTTATCCGATCATATATCACTGTTTGGAATTTTCAAGTGTTAAACTTTTTTTTTTTCTCTTTCTTTTCTTTTCTTTCCAAAAGCTAATTGCCTATTGTTTCCTTAGAATATCATACAAATTTAAATATACATGAAGTTTGGGTAAAGTTTAAGCATGCTAGGAAGTAGACCTCAAAGTTTTATTTGTATATGATTACTGCGCATGGTTTGTTAATATTGTCATTATTTTCACGTTTTTGGAATGAGCTTACTTTGTCCTTTTGGGAGCCAATTGGAAGATGATTTCTTTAAGTTCATTTTATTATGTTTAGCATGTGCATTGAGTTATATTTCATGTAGCTTTACTTTATTATTTATAGAAAAGCATTTGAGTATATTAATTTGCTTATTATTTATTTTATTTTATATTTCTCTACTTTTTTTTACATGTAATGCTTCGCCGAGTCTATCTCGACTTTTACCACTGCCTCCTTGCATCTTCGAGTATCGAGTCAGCCCTTCGGTGTTCAAGAGAGTATCAAAAATGATGTACAGGTGTTCGGAGCAGATACACGAGATTTGTATACACTAATACACATCTAGTGTATACGAAAGAGGGAAATGGGCCTAAAGGCCCCCAAATTCTGAAAAGTTGTATTTTGTTATTTTTAGGGCCTAAGCCCTTGTTATTTTACTTATTATTGTCTTGTTAGAATTTAGGACAGGTGGCAAAAACTGGGCCTTTTGGCCAAAATGAAATGGGCCCAAGTATTGGTCCAGGCGGACAGAAAAACCAAACTTGGGCTCGAGTCTCTTTCCCTCTTTACTTTATTATGTTTGTGTGCTCGTTAATATTTGCCGCTTAATCTTAAGGTTTTAAAAATTCAAATCCCCAAAAGACACCCATTTTGAATCAATTACTTAACCAAATTGTTCATCTCTTACTTGACTTAATAAATAAATAAGTATTTTTTACAAAATATTTCGCTTAAATAAAAGGTCAATATTTCCCTTTTCCCTTCTTAAAACGATTCTAACTATAAAAATTGTCCGATTCAAATTAAGTTAAAGTACTTTTAGCCAAATAAATTAATTGTTGGATAACCGCATTAGCGGATATTCTAGGTGCTTTAAAAACCTTCCTAGAATATTAATAGGAACCTCGAACCCTTTTTCAAGTTTTCACTAGATTCCTGTTTTAGTCTCGTGAAAATGAATAGTTTTCTTGATTTTTCTTAAAAATTAAGTGGCGACTCTAAACCAGTCCAAAATACATTTTCCAAATAAAACAGTGATTTGACAGAAAGTCTGAAAAACTATACAGAAGCCAGCCTAAACATTTTCACTTTTTTTGAAATGATTCAACACAAAAGGACAATATCCACCTTTGAGTGAGTTTATAACATTAGGAACACGTGATTTCAAAGTTAAATGACAAACCAACATCAAAGAAGAAAAGAAAGGCAAAATACATTTTAGTTAATACCAATATAACTAATTTCATGGTGAAGCTTGAGACTACTGATCTATATAATTACTATGGTCTGAGATAGAATCCTGAAATCAGGAATATAGTTTACCTCTTTGATTTGCTTTCCACCTGTAGAAAATGCATCCGAAAATGGCCAATATGAGAACGCTTGAAACGGTTGTGAAGATGATGATAAGTTTAGCCCTCGTTGTATCTTCATCTAAAGCTATGTTATGTCACAATTCAAATCCAAAAGAAAGGTCAACAGAAATCAACTTTAATCTTCTAAATATAATGGGGAACTGAATACCTAGTTCAGAATAAGCAACACGAAGAAACAAATCCACACCATCATATGGAAACTGCTGAACATCCATAAGTTCTGAAGTCCAAACCATGCACTTAATTCCGTCTGGATATACATAGGCTGCACAGGAACAGTTATTCAGGCACCACTCCTTGCAGATCTGAGCCTCATAGTCATAAAAATATGTGTAGTGATCTGGCAGTTTCATCTCTCTCAGCTGCAAGAAGTTGTCACTTTCGGACCCCTTTGTAGCATTGCCACTTGCACTGATTTCACATAGAAGTTTAGTTCGCCTCACACAGCCACCAGTCCAATTTCCTCTGATCCATTCATCAGTTGACTTTGGTACAAATCCTCTCAAGCAATCACAGACTGGAGACTTACCCATGTCACAAACACTGTAAGGACCACAAGTTCCATAAACATCACATGGATTCGCTGGTGCCTCCCAAAAGACGTGCCATTCATTCAGGTCTTCTAGCCATTCCATCATATTCAATAGCCCTGATGGTTTTAGGACCATGATTATAACATCAGAAACGTTGAAATTATTGAAACTGAAGAAGGCAGATTCCTGTTGCTTGTTTACTACTACATTTATATCACTTGCATACCCCTTTTCGTCATCAGGTATGCCTAAGAAGTTCCCTCCATCCCATGGGCCACCTCTCCAGTAAGGCCTCGAGTAATTATTCCAAGTGAAGACTTGAGGTGGCATTTCTACCGAAAGTCCAATAGTAAACTTTCCAGGCGATGGATCATTTTCAGCCTGCCAGGACCATAAAACAAGTTTTACCCCAGACCTGGTGTTGTATCCAATATTCATTCCTGATAACAAGGTATCAGAAGGATAGTTAAAACTATCCCATAAAGATGATCCCCTTTGTCTGTAAGTACAGCAGATGTCTTATTAGACTGAACAGAGATATTTGTTGACCAAATGATATTTTGATTGCCATCCATAATTATGAGGTTCCCATCACCTCCAATCTTCAAGATTGCATCAGAATCAGAAGCTTGGAGTGGATCTTCTCTATTTGCTACCCATACAATCCTCTGACCTGGAATATTCTTGAACCACATACCAAGATATAGACTCCTCGAGCTACGTGGACTGAAGAAGCCCAGCTCAAATATTTTTCCAGCAGAGACAAGTGTCTGATTTAGTGACAGTTGTTGGGATTGTGTTAAGGTATCACTTTCAGCAGAGACTTGCGCTAAAAGCATCCTTCCGAGCATCAGAAACAGAAAAAAATCCCATCTTGGCTTTTTTTGGTTCATTCCCGGCCTGAGATGCTCTAGAAATTCAAACAATTAGGCTTTCTACAAGCATCCCTCTGAATCCTTTGACAAATTCTATAGTGGGAAATAATTTAAGATTTCTGTTAAAAGTATACCAAGTATTTTGACATTGTCCTTGTTTCAGTTGTCACAGAACCTCCCATTTATTGTTTACTTCATAATTGTCTATTCAAGATCCATCAAAGAAAATGACATTTTTTCCCTTTGACTTCAAACTCTATAGTATATATTATCTAAATCTATTGTAGCTTTGACAAGATAAAAAGTAAATACTTTTCATTCTCACAGTAAGAACCAAAACAACACAACATATTACAGTAACAGGTAGCCAATAAGTTCGCTCGCAGAGCATAAAGAAAGGAAAATGCATTTCCAGTTGTAACAATCAAAAGGATTTTATGGTAGAGCCCGAAAACCGGTATGCATGACTACTATGGTCAGCGATAGAAATCTGGAAATCAGGAGAATAGTTTACAGAACTATGTTATGTTATAATACAGAAAGGTGACAGCATAATACAATTTTAATCATCTAAGCATAATAGTGAGAACTGAACTTACCTAGTTCAGAATAAGCAAGATGAAGAAAAAAATCCACACTATGATACAGAAACTCTTGAACATCAAAAGCATGTCATCATGTTTGCAAAGCTAATTTAAGAGATTACTTGAATTGTCAAATTTGTACAACCTGTCTCTTTCAAGGGTATACTTAGACAAAAACTCAAAGGAAGACTTGATAAAAATAATTGGTGATAGAAACCAAGAAGAAAAAAAGTCATTTATAATATTCAGATAAGAGTTTGACCAAGACCAGTATAACCTGTACCGAGTGTGCCAATATAAACAAACATCAAACTATGGCAAGGAAGAAAACACAGATTATAGACAAGGAAAGAACTCAAACTGAACTTTGATTTCAATAACAAAACTAAATTTTACAACTGATCCAATATGGTCATTTAACAAGGAATCTTCCTCTAACTATGGCAATTAAGTACATGTAAAACTTCACAAGCTACAAGTATTTTAAGTCCCACATTCCCAAGAGCTATATCTTCACAATTCAATCACTGTCATTGTGTTTTTCAATGTTAGGCCTATGTAATCCACACTATAATTTTATTTTTTTTAAACTGGTAAGATGTAATCCACACTATAATTTTTTTTTTGAAACTGGTAAGATGTAATCCACACTATAGTTTAGTGGTCTCCTTATATGCCATTGAGAAATCCTACTCGCATAAGATGTCTTTGATGGTAGAGTTTGGCCCAATAGCCATATCTTCCCAAGTGGCTTCTGCAAGTTGACTGCCTGTTGCACAGAGCATGTACTGGAGGAAATTTCCTTTATATTGAATGCAGTAAAGACTTAGAGTAAGTAAAAAAATAAATGATCAGATGATATAGTAGCTTAGACAAGCTGTGTACACATATTAAAACGGTACATGCAACATCTTCAATTGGTTATCGTCCTTCTGCCACAGAGACAGTAATATCATTAACAGACTGAGTTTTGCTGACTTGAGATTGGTTATCAGAATTCAACCATCTTTGAAATATAAATGTAGGTTGCTTTGGTTGAGGAAGATCCATCTCACTACTTAGCATAAGAACGATAGACGGCATTGATGGCCTATCAGCAGCATGATCCTGGACACAAAGCAGGCCAATATGTATGCATCTCAGCACTGTTGCAGAGGAATCTGAGTCCAAAACTGATTTATCCATTAAGTCTAGTCCGTTGCTTTCAGTCCGCAGCTGCCACACCTGAAATCATTTTGAAATGAATACTATATGTTTGTGTGAATAACTTGTGGCAAGAGATCCTGCTGATTTTGCACTTACATAACTGAGAAGGTTGAGATGCTTTTCGTGGTCATAATATCCGCTGTTTTCTCTTTCCACTGACAATCTCTAGTAGCAATACGCCAAAGCTGTAGACATCAGATTTCTCAGAAAATAGTCCTCCCATTGCATACTCTGGTGACATATAACCGCTGCAACACATTTGATATAAGAACATGCTGGTATTTTCTATTACGATGAACTTGTTTGACGGAAGAAATGCAGGAACATAGAAAAAGATTCTGTTACAAGAAGTAGAGCTGTAGAGATATTTACAATGTTCCCGCTATCCTGTTAGTGTTTGCTAGCTCTTGAGTCACTTGAAAAATTCTGGCCAATCCAAAATCTGAAATTTTTGGATTCATATCATCGTCCAACAGAATATTGCTTGCCTTCAGATCTCGGTGAATGACCCTTAAACAAGAATCTCGATGAAGGTAAAGAAGTCCACGAGCAATGCCTTGAATCATGTTGAAACGTTTTGGCCAGGGAAGCTGATGACTCTTTTTTTGAATCTGACAGTGTCATTTATAGCATTGGAAATGGTTAAATACTTGAAGAACAAAGAGATTTACCATTGTTAAATGGCAAATGACACTATGTTTGTGTGATGCACGCCTTTGAAGGAACCAGAATGCTAAACAGCAAATTCTCGGAACACTAAGCCACTGGTCAGTGCCTTTACCGTGCTTCTTTTTCTGAAGTATTTGGCCGATATTTTAGAGAAGAATCGCATAAGCTCCTAACCAAGGGCACAATAATTCATAGTTCTGAAACAAGTCATAATTTCCATATCCACAATATGACATGAACGATCACTAACTATAAAAATACAAGGATAAGTAAAATATGCTGATCAAACCATTTGCCATAACAGAAATTATAATTGGAACCACTTACCAAACAACAAAGTATCTAAGCTTTTGTTAGCCATGTACTCATAAACTAGTAACTTCTCTTTCCCGTGAATGCAATAGGCCAATACTCTGACGAGATTCCTGTGCTGCAGTTTGGAGATTAGCAAGACTTCATTCTTGAACTCTTCAATTCCTTGTCCAGAGTGACTAGATAATCTTTTGACAGCTATCACTTGTCCATCTGCCAGTTTTCCCTGTATGATGTCCATTATGACGGCTTTAGTTTTCACATCAGCAGCAATTATTTGTGTGAAAGACACTCGGCATACTGGTATTACCTTGTAAACGGGGCCAAATCCTCCTGCTCCAATCTTATTTATTTCACTGAAGTTATCAGTTGCAATAGCCAGTTTAGCAAAGTCAAGAAGTGGTAGATCTGATGAATCTTTTTGCAATGCTTGCTCTTCCCACAATTCGTCTGTAGACATTTCGCTTGAATTCTGACACCTATCAGACGAAATGTGGTCTTCAACTCTATTTCTTCTATTTCCTGATTTTTTCCAGATCCACATGAGTAGACATAAAAGTTTACAATGAAAACTGGTAATGTCAAAGAAGACATCCAGAATGTTTTACTAGTGTAAAACTGCATGATCTTGCCAATTCCGAGCTTTATTACTTGAAATTCATCCTTGAATCATGTACTATTTTCGAATTGAATAGATATATCAGACTAAAGAATTGTACAGATATGAAGGTTGCATTTTGGAGTATTACTTATCAAAAGAAATATTGATACTTCACACGAAGATACATACAGAAGCCTAACATGATTTTAACAGAAAGCTTGATAGGAATGGAGAGAGATGTGAACAAGTCACACCATGTTTGAATTACAAACTCAGCATCAAAATTAGAGAATGGCCATGAAGGTTGACCGTTAATGACAAACTCACTTCATAGAAGAAAAGCAAGGAAAAAGGCATTTCCAGTTATACCAATCAAAAGAATATTATGGTGAAGCTCGACAAAACTAGTGTACATAATTACTATGTTGGCTCAAAAAATTGATAGCAAGAGAATAGTTTACCTCTTTGATTTGCGTTCCACCTGCAGAATATGTATCCGAAGATACCCAATATGAGAATGCTTGAAACGGTTGTGATGCTGATGATAAGCGTTTTCTTCCTTTTATCTTCATCTAAACTATGATCTGTTATAATACAGAAAGGTGATTATATTAAAAAAAAATTATCATCCAAGCATAATGATGAGAATTGAATTTACCTAGTTCAGAATAAGCAAGACGAAGAAACAAATCCACACCATCATATGGAAACTGCTGAACATCAACAAGTTCTGAAGTCCAAACCATACAGTTAATTCTATCTGGATATGCATACGCTGCACAGGAACAGTTATTCAGGCACCACTCTTTGCAGCTCTGAGCATCATAGACATAAAAATATGTGTAGTGATCTGGCAGTTTCATCTCTGTCAGCTGCAAGAAGTTGTCACTTTCGGATCCCTTTGTAGCATTGCCACTTGTACTGATTTCACATAGAAGTTTAGTTCGCCTCACACAGCCACCAGTCCAATTTCCTCTGATCCACTCATCAGTTGACTTTGGTACAAATCCTCTCAAGCAATCACAGACTGGAGACTTACCCATGTCACAAACACTGTTAGGACCACAAGTTCCATAAACATCACATGGATTACCTGGTGCCTCCCATGTGACTTTCCATGCATTCAATTCTCCCACCCATACAATCATCTGCAATAGCCCTGATGGTTTTAGGACCATGATTATAACATCAGAATTGTTGAAATCATTGAAACTGAGAAAGGCAGATTCCTGTTGCTTGTTTACTATTACATTTATATTACTTGCATACCCCTTGTCAACAGCAGGTATGCCTATGAAGTTCGCTCCGTCCCATGGTCCACCTCTCCAGTAAGGCTTTGAGTAATTAGTCCAAGTGAAGCCTTGAAGTGGCATCTCCACCGATAGTCCGGCAGTAAACTTTCCAGGAGATGGATCATTTTCAGCCTGCCAGGACGATAAAACAAGTTTTACCCCAGAACTGGTGTTGTATCCAATATTCATTCCTGATAACAAAGTATCACAAGGATAGTTAAAACTATCCCATAAAGATGATCCCGTGACATCGTCTTTAAGAATGAATTCCCCTTTGTCTGTAAGTACAGCTGTTGTCTTATTAGACTGAACAGAGATATTTGTTGACCAAATGATATTTTGATTGCCATCCATAATTATGAGGTTCCCATCACCTCCAATCTTCAAGATTGCAGTTGAGTCAGAAGCTGGGAGTGGATTTTCTCTATTTGCTACCCATAATATCCTCTGACGAGGAATATTCTTGAACCAAATTCCGAGATATAGACTCCTCGAGCTATGTGGACTGAAGAAGCCCAGCTCAAATATTTTTCCAGCAGAGACAAGTGTCTGATTTAGTGACAGTTGTTGGGATTGAGTTAAGGTATCACTTGCAGCAGAGACTTGCGCTAAAAACATCCTTCCGAGCATTAGAAACAGAAAAAAATCCCATCTTGGCCATGCCATTTTCTTTCCGTTTTTGTTCATTCCCAGCCTGAGCTACTCTAGAAATTCAAACAATTAAAACTTTCCAAAAGCATCCCTCTGAACAACCCTCTTGGGATTTCACTCCCTTTATTTTTATTCAGGAGGATGAATACTTTGACAAATTCTATTGTGGGAAATAGTTTAGTATTTCTGTTTAACAGTATACCAACTAGTTTTTTGACATTGTCCTTGTTTCAGTTGTCACAGAACCTCCCATCAATTGTTTACTTCGTTATTGTCTATTCAAGATACATCAATGAAAAGGACATTTATTCCCTTGACTTCACTCTCTACTATATTACCTGTAGATAAATGGAAAGTACTTTTCCTTCTCAGAGTAAACACCAAAACAACACAACATGTTACTGTAACCAATAAGTTCGCTTGCAAAGCGTAAATTATGAGATTAAAAACTATCCAGGTAGGGTAATTCTGAACTAAATAAGCACACATCTAGTATGTGTCTCAATTAGAAAAGCATAGTTGTATTTAAATATCAAAGTCAACACAATTTGTTTATCTACTCATCCAGTCACAAAGTAGAAAGCACATCATTGTGTTGTCATTGCTGATCACTCCATTTAATCCTTCAAGGTATTACTTGGAGCCTCAAATGTTATTCCAACCCATCTCTTTTCAAGGAGATTTGACTAAAAATTTAGGTTGATTGCAGTGTACGCCATCATATTTTCTTGGAAACTTTGATGTTGGGAAAAGTTTACACGCCGAAGCTGCAGACATCAGATTTCTCAGAGAACAGTCCACCCATTGCATACTCAGGCGACATGTAGCCGCTGCAACGTATTTGTATAAGAATGAGTCAGAGTTGCTACTTTGAAATCAAAGAAAATATTTTGCTTCCAAAAGTAGAGGTATTTACAATGTTCCCACTATGCGATGAGTGTTTGCTAGCTCTTGAGTCACTTGAAAGGTTCTGGCCAAGCGAAACTCTGATATTTTCGGATTCATATCACCATCCAAGAGAACATTGCTTGCCTTCAGATCCCTGTGAATGACCCTTAAACAAGAATCACGGTGAAGGTAAAGAAGCCCTCTAGCAATGCCATGAATCATCATGTAGAAATGTTTTGGCCAAGGAAGCTGATGACTTTTTTTTGGATCTAACAGTGTGATTAACAGCACATCAAAGATAGTTATACAATTGAAGAAAACAATGAAGCTTCTCAGCATAATATATATATACATTGGTTTTTAAGTAGTAAATGTTACTTAAAGTGAACTGTGTTGATCAAGCAATACGCCATTGCAGAGACTATAGTTGGAACCACTTACTGAATAACAAAGTGTCTGTTAGCCATGTACTCATAAACCAGTAACTTCTCTTTCCCGTGAACGCAATAGGCCAACATTCTGATGAGATTCCTTTGGAGATCAGCAAGAGTTCATTCTTGAACTGTTCAATTCCTAGGCCAGAGAAACTAGATAATTGTTTGACAGCTATCACTTGTCCATCTTCTAGTTTTCCCTGTATCATAGCAAGAGTTTTCGCATTAGCAGCGTTATTTTCTGTGTGTGAATCACTTCAGAGACTGGCATTACCTTGTAAACTGGGCCAAATCCTCCTGCTCCATTGAAGTTATCAGTTGCAACTGCCAATTTAGAAAAGTCAAGAAGGTGTAGTTCTGATGAATCATTTAGCAATGCTTGTTCTTCCCACAAATAGTCTGAAGATTCACTTCCTATTGTCAATGATAATATTACACTTATCTTCACACATATATGTATACATTAAGAGAACAATTGCAAAGTTAAGATGTCTTTTTTAAAATTCGGGACAACCTATGTGTCCTGGCTTGGCTAAGTTTGGGGGTCAAGGGAGTCAGTTGATTAATTTTTGCTGAATTTGTGAATTAACACACATGAAAAATGCTTAAAATCTTGAATTCTTATTTCGTGATATATATAGGGGAAAAAAAAAAGACACAATATTAATGAATATACAAAGAGAACCGGTCACCAGACTTCTAAGGACTGGTCTTGCCAAGTTTGGGAGTCAACAGAGAAAATCAATGGATTAACACACACGAAAATTGTTTAGAATCTTAAATTCCTATTTCATGATATCAAAACGCTGGAAAGAAAAACATCGTTAGTGAAAATGCAATGAGTACTGATCACAAAAACTATGAGGACCGGCTTGGATAAGTTTGGGGGCCAACCGAGTCAGTTAACAAATTTTAAGAAAATCAGTGGACTAATAATACACATCAAAACCCTTAAAATTTTAAATTTCTATTTCATGACACTGAAACGCAAAAAGAGACACCAATAATAAAAATGCAACGAGTATTGGTAACCAAACCGAGCCTAGCCAACTTTGGGGACAAGCAGAGTTGGTCTCCTAATTTCTACACTAGTCCTTAAAATCTTAAATTCCTATTTTGTGACACCGAAAAACTGAAAAAAGAAATGGCATTAATGATAATATAACAAGTACTCCTTCCGTCCCAATTTATATGTCACATTTTTACTTTGCACTTGCATTAAGAAATGACCCTTCTACCCTTATTTAATTTTTTTGGAACTCAAATTTTCAATCAATTAATATGAATTAATTTATTTTGATTAATTAATTTAATCAATGAACATGAATCATTTACTTAGTTTTTCTAAGTTGGTCAAATTTATATTTTCAAGGTTAATAACTCACAAGGGTAAAAAAGAAACAATATGGTAATTTATGCATTGATTTTATGAAATGACAAGTATTGTGGATCAACTATTTATAAAAAGGGATAACATATAAAATGAGACGGAGGGAGTACCAGTCTCCATTGAGGGGACCCGGGTTAGCCAATAGAGTCGGACAAATAAGTTAGTAAACTAACATACTAAAAAAAACGCTTAAAATCTAGTAAATCTTGCTTATAAATATGTTAGTGCACCACACTTATAATCAATATTTCTCCCATGACTTGTTCAATTGGAAACATGTAAGTTGTCCAAAATACTTCATAAAACATTATTTGATCTTCCTTTTAATTATATATCAAAGTCCAATATATGGTTTAAAAAATACTTTTTCTTAGAATGTTAACCTTTTGACTTCGTAATTGTAAGTTTCCTGGTGGTTGACAATATAAGAAGCGGAAGAAATGTCTTAATATCCATTTAATATGATCAATCATGACAAAGAAAATTCATCTAAAAAGGAATATATATATATATATTATTTTTTTGGGAATGGCCACGATAAGATGCGAAAAACGACACTGAGATGGTTTCGACATGTGAAGAGGAGATGTACAGATGTCTTGATCATTGGTCAATGTTGAGGAGTGAAAGTTTGGGTATGGATGGTTTCAAGAGAGATAGAGGTAAGGTAAAGATGTATTGAGGAGAGGTGATTAGACAAAAGATCAGTTTATCGATGACATAACCTTAGATTGGAGACTATAGAGGACATATGTTATGATCGAAGGCTAGTAATAGTTGAACATTATCTCATTATCCTTCCATAATAATAGTCGTAATACTATAGGACTTTCGTATTTTCTTATTCTTTGATTTATGTTATTCTCTATCTTGGTTTCTTCACTTCTATCATTCTTTTCTCAAACTGTTTTGATATACTTGTCCTTGAGTTGAGGATTTATCCGAAATAGCCTCTCTTTACCTTCTAAGATAGAGGTAAAGTTTACGTACAAACAATCGTTCAACCCTTAACTTGTGGAATTATATCATATATATATATATATATATATATATATATATTTGAAATTGATTTGAAATATCAGCAGGCCACTAAACAACATTAAGATTCGAGATTTTATGAGATTAGTTGAAACGGAATAAAAAAGAATACTATACTAATTAAGGCTAATCATTAGCTAGCTATTTAATTATAGTGAAGAATTTTCATTAGCTGGCATTTCTTGTTGATTCATAATTAGTAGATTTTTTCATGGTATATATATATATAAGAAAAATATAAGGACAACAAAAGTGAGAAAAGTCTAGTAGTTTTGCACAATCTCACAAATATTATTTAATTATATGTGGATTTGAAACATTAGCTCTAGTATTAGGCTCAAAAATAGTTCAAATATAGGCCTCAAAATATTCTGCTCAAATAAAACAAAAAAAATATATTTGGCAATGGGTGGTGACCATACCAAATGAGTGATGAATCTTTTTATCTTGACTATCTGAACTTTAATCTTATTGGTGATGGTTCGATTTCCCAACTAATTTATCGCTGCACTTCATTTCCCCATCCCCTACTCCCCCTTCTTCTTTTTAGAAAAAATAAATAAATACCAAATGAGTACTTACCTACATATATAGGAAACTCCCTTTCATTATCTAAAACTTTATTTATTTCTTTAAGGAAAATGCTCTCCATGACATATAGAGTCCTCCCAAAAAAATAAAAACAATTTAGTGTGGTGGTACCCTTCCATGCAACTTCCAGGAAATGTTATTTGCCATCAACCATAATTCTATCCTCATTCTCCCTCAGCTTCCTTCCTTTGCAATTTGCATTTTCTTGGACTCTTTCCCCCAAAACTTCCTCTACATTCCTCTCTTATCTATATATATAAATATCCCTTTGAACTCATCATAATTCATCCATCTTGAGTGTACTACATCTATCCAATAATACTTATTGCTTCAATAGGGGCATAAAGTGGTTCAATTGAATACCTTTCGTTGAAAATTATATCGTGTAAAGAAGGTATCAAGTTCAAATCCTAGTGGTTGCAACTTGCATTGGTACATTTTTTTTCGAAATCCCCAGTTAAAATTCCTAATTTCTAGTCCAATATCAACATAATACTTGTTAAAGGGCAAGAAGGGGATTTATTCAACTGAATATCTTTCGTTGAAAAATTATACTAGTGAAAGAGAGCCTCGTGTTCACATCCTAGGGGTGACATTTTGACAAAATTTCTGACTCCACCACTAGTCTGATTTGATATCAATGGCTCATGCATTGGGGCACGACGTGGTGTTTGAGGATTTTTTCCCTTCTATGGTGGAGAAACTTGGAGCTGAGGGATTCTTGAAGGAGCTAAGCAATGGATTTAGGGTTCTAATGGATGAGGAGAAGGAAGTCATAACATTTGAGAGCTTGAAGAAGAATTCAGAGTTGTTGGGATTAAAGGACCATATGAGTGATGATGAGGTGATGTGCATGTTGAGTGAAGGTGATTTGGATGGTGATGGTTGTTTGAATGAAATGGAGTTTTGTGTATTAATGGTACGTTTAAGTCCTGATTTAATGGACATTTCAAGAATGTGGTTGGAGGAAACTCTTGCTAAGTTGTAATTAGGCTTTAATTAATCCCTTTTGTGATGATTCTTGTTATTTAATTTCATTCTCTATATATATACATCTAGATTATCCATACATATAGTTATTGGTTCTTTAGTGATTGTTTTTGTTTTCTCGGTGTTCGGTATTCATTTATTAGGGTCTAAATAATTTAGTTTATCATCGAAAAGTTCTAATTTGGTAGTAAAGTGTTTCCTGCTAAAGACAATATATTCCATTTTCAAGAGCCGAACTTGAAACCTCTGGTTAAGAATGTAGGGGCGATACTACCGCACATCATAAAGTTTAGTGGTTTGTTTAGTAATTGTTAATGTCATCGTTAATGTGATTCCTCTACAAGCTAACATTTTGCTAGTAATATTAGAAGGGGATTTGGGTATAGATATATGGTTGATTGAATGAGATAAAGTTTTTTGTACTCATGGTTAGTTTGAGTCCTGATTTTTATTTTTTTTGGTTTCTTACTCGATGTTTGATATTCATTTTTGAAGTTCATTTAATTGAGATTTTTGTCGAGAAATTTCACCTGAGATAAAAATGTTCCCTACCAAAGCAACATATTAAAAATGAATTTGGAGGAGACTCTTGCCAAGTTGTAATTAATGAGGCAAATTTCTTGTGATGATTCTTCTAATTTATCTATATGTATTTATCTAGCTTATCCAAGAGTTACTAGATCTTTGGTAATTTCTCCTCTTCTTTTTTTCACTTGGTGTTCGTTACCTATTTGTTGGGCCCGAGTAATTGAGGTTAGCATCGAAAAGTTTCACTTTACATATAAAATAGTCCTTACTAAAAGTCAATTTCATTTTGAGAGATCGAACTTACGGTTTTTAATTAAAAAGAGAAGATGATATTTATTACTCTAACACAAATTTTGGTACAATTCTCTTTATAATTGTTCAAGCCATAATTAATGTGATTCTTGATAAAGAAATAGACTTTGAGCAAAATTTAATCCAGAAGCTACCTCATGAGAAGAGAATTATTCTAAATTATATAACGAAATCAAGTTCTCATGGCCCCAATAATAACATGAAACTCTACACCCCCACACAATTATGTTTTTTTGATGAAAACTTCAATTTTGAAGTGTAAGAGTTGTAACAGGAGTATAGACAATATAATATGGGAAATTCAATATCGACTAAATCAATAAGCCAAGATGGATCTGACTTTAATATCATGTTAACGCGTTAAATTGATCGAAATCACCAAAGGCAATATACACTAAGACCAAAAATGGACTAAAGACTAGCTAATACAAATTGGGCTACAGTAAATCTTGTCCTCTAGGTGGGCTTTCACACAATTGGGCTTTCGGGTTATTTTGAAGTTCTAACGGGCCAAGTGCTCAAATATCCGTTGTTGGGCTGCTAGTTTAACTTGAGCCCGCTTTTTAATATATTTTTTTTGGGTAAGTTTACCTACTTTGAGAATAACTTCAGACATACGCGATTGAAGTTGAAATTTTTTGTCTAACTTCATACATTTTTGTTTGAAATGTGGTCTGGTGACGGTGGAACATCGAATATTTTTGTCTGAAATCTGGTATTGCTTGACAAAGCTAACTTTGGATATGTTTCAAGTTGTGGACTAATAAGGTTGAGATTCGAACTTTTTTTTACCAAAGTTTTACCTGACTAGTAAAGGCTAACTCCAAATATTTTTAACTATAGTGCGCGTAAAAAATTGGCTAAAATCTCAGTCACAAGTGTCTAAATTTTGCATGTAAAAATTGATTAAAATTTCAGTTATGTGTATCTGAAATTTTTTGCCAGTTTCTTTTTATTTTTTGAGTTTTAACAATCCAATATACGATACTCAAATCTACTCCAATAGAACTTATATTTGAATATATCATAAAAGACAAACTATAATCATCAATTTATCAAAACAACAACAAATCTAACAAACTCATTTAGCGTTAGTTTATTTTTTTCATTTATGCCTCCACTTCTGAATTATAGTTAAATTTCTTCATCCTAAAAAAAATACCTTTACAAATTTCAACGATCCAACACACTATATAATGTAACTATAAGTAAATCTTTATGAACTAAAATAAAAAAGAATATCACATCAATTAATATATGGTACTCTCTCGACCAAGTCATACGATCAATTTGTAACCTAATCAAAATGATAATTGACCTACGAGCTACTTTAACTAGTTAAATTATAAATTATATCAATGGAAAGATATAAATATATTTTTTAATTTTACGATTTAAAATTAATATATTTCTCATTAAAAAAGTAATATATATATATATATATATATATATATATATATATATATATATATTTATCGACTAACAAATTACGTAGAAGAACAATTGATACTAAATATCTGATGTGACATTTTATCATACTAAAAATTTAAATTGTTCCACAAGAACTTCAAAATGTTTAAAATTGAAAGGGAAATTTAAAAAGTCAAGCGGACAAGATCCAATAGCTCAAGATTTTGAGCAGAAAATGAGGGGATAAAACCTATATTGTGGTATTTGTGTCCGATTTTTCAAAAATATATACTCTTTATAAATATAAAAGTATACCCTCTTTATATACTCTTTTCGTTTCAAATGTTTTGTCAATTTTGATTTAGCACAATTCAAGAAAATAAAGAAGATTTTTGAATCTTGTGATCTTAAATTAAAGATATGTTAAATGTTCCAAAAAACAAGGGACTCCATCCGTTTTTGAAGTACAAAATTGCAGTTGAAGAGTATAAGTAAAAATAATAGAAATATTCATCAAGGAACATGTGTGATTGAGTGATTGAATTGAGTTCGATTCCATATTATTACATTTTTTTTTATGTATATTTCTAAAAAAATCGACCATATTTCATTGGTTTTGACCTTTAGGAGTGTAAAATAGTAGCTTGCTATTTGTCAAATTTATTCCAAGTTTTTTCATTTTACCAACAAGAAGAAGACATTTTTACTATAGGTTAAAAAGCTGATATTCACAATAGAAATAATTTTAGAAATATTATTTCCTCAAGGTACAATGAATATATCTAACTTTTCAAATAAACAAATAATTCATTTGTGGAAAGTTTAGTATAAGGAGCGTGCTTAAAAAGGGTCAGAGAGGAAAAATATGAGCATATAGGAAAAAGTCCATTCCACACCCAACCACTCTTAATAAAAATTGACTATCTACAAAAGTTCGATTCAGAATTTAAAACGTTTTAAGAATTTTATATTAATCTCAAATTAATAAATAGTAATAATTGAGTTCACAGTCATATAGATGCATAGGGGGAGGCACAATTACGATATCAAGTTCATTTGAAATTGAATACATACTGTTGATGTGGAACAAAAGTTTATGTATAAAAATTTATAAAAATTATGACAAATAATAGGTATGAACGTGCAATTTTAGAAATATAATGGGTTCAATGCTAAAATATTTAAAGGTTGATCAATCGATAGAATTTAAATCTTGAATTTGTCTATATGTTTGCGCTTTGGGTATTCCAAATTTCAAATCCAACTACTCTTAATACAATCATATTTACTAGCAAAATAGTGTAGCCAAAAGTTGATTAATACATGGAGACATATATCTGAAATTTAAAGTTTATAAATTTTTATTTCAATCTTAAATTATTAAACCATAATAACTTAATTTACAGTCACATACTTATATATATTTTGTAAATTTCTTAATATATATATATATATATATAATCGATCTAGAAAACTACTGAATTGACGTGAATCCATAAACGACAATCTAAAACCACCCCATTACAAACCTAACCACTCTCATTAAAGTTTTTTTCTTGTAATATCACGTTAGCCAAAAATTGACCTATAGGCAATCCAAATCTCCTATTTAAAGGAGCCCAAAACACACAACAAAATCATCCCAAAAAAAAGCAAGTTCTTCTAATAAAAGTTTTTTAGTTATTTCACTTGTATCAATTAATCAAAATGGCTTTAGGTGCAACTCATTTGAGCTTGGCACTTTGCCTTATGGCTCTAATTGTTCTTGTAAAAGCAGATTTTGATGGTAAAAAAGAGCCAATTAACAATATTTTGGAGCAAAATTCAGAAATGTTAACTCAAGATTTTTGTATTTTCGCGGCGGTTGGGTCAGTTGTGGCGGAAGCTATTGCGAGGGAGAGGCGAATGGGAGCGTCTCTCATTCGCCTCTTCTTCCATGACTGCTTTGTCGATGTAAGTTCTTCATCATATTTCAAAGACTATATTCACTCGTTCTTTTTCAATTTATATGACTTTTTTCTTACTAAACAAGAAATTTAAGAAAAAAATTTATTTTAATTTTTTTTGCATACTTAGAGTTTTAAAATGCCAATATAATTATGTAATTGTGTGGCCTTAAATAAGGAGTAAATTAGTGTTCATAATAGCTTTTCATTAAAGATGAAGAAGTATAAAGTTAATATATGTACAAAAATATATAAGTGTGACATTCTTTTTTAAAAGAACTAATTAGAAATTAAGGTCAACACGAAGAAAATTGCATATATTGTGTTCAATCAAACATAAATTAGGACCAAAGACATCTTCGTTTTTATCTTTATCTTCATTTTCCATGTATTGATACTGCTCTCATTTAAACATATCATCTTGCTCATATTCACATTCATCAAACAAAATCCTTGATAAATAACCACGGCTTTGATTCTCATTTAGCTTTCAAATAGTTTTACGTCAAATTTTATAGCAAATAATTGACATATTTATATTAAAAACCATAATTTCTTGATCATATTTAAATTTTAAATTCGCTTCTCATAAAAATAAAAGGAGTACTTCATAAGTATATTCCTATTTGTTATTAATTAATTAATTGCCTTTATCTTCTAGTATAGTGCATATTAATGTTTATTGGCCTAACATTATATTAACTTGTGGTATGATATTATTTAATTAGGGATGTGATGCTGGAATTCTTCTAGATGATATTCCTGGAAGGTTCCAAGGAGAAAAAACATCACCACCAAATAATAAT